GGAAAATTTTTAGTTATATTTTTGATAAAAAAAATCATGTGAGATTTCATTGGAATGAACATTCCCATCTTCTTACATGGGAATAAAATCATCGGAATTATAGAAGTTATTGGAAGTTATTTTATTCTTTAGAACCTTTATACCTAGGAATAAATTTTCTTCAAACTCTTAACAAACATGGGTATAACCATTTTTTAAACATTATTCTTGGGAATTTAGTTCGTAAATTTGAAACAAACACCCCCATAAGTTCAACTTAACTTGGATACCTCAACTTTTTAGAAACCTATGAAGCACTGACATTAAAATGACGACACTAACATGTCAACACCAATAATAATTTGAAAAAATGAATAAGTTAAATGTAATCGCGAGTGTCGGTGGAAGTGTCAGTCTCAAACACTCACAGACACACATATTTTTTTCAGAGGAGCCGGTGCTACATAGTTAGAAACTCTTTCATATATAATGTTTTCATAAACATCTATAAACTGATAACAGTTATTCGTATGAATTAGAAATTAAATACTAATGCTGTTGAATAACTTCTGTATCCTAGAAAACTAATGCTGTTGAATAACTTCTGTATCCTAGAAAACTAATGCAAACCTGGCATTGGCCAAATACACTGTTAGCATTACTCGATCACTCAATCTTATGATGACAATCAGTATATGATGTTTTTATTTTTAAGTGATAGGTGCGGTTACTTTTTTCCTCTACAAGATTGCATTTTTGAACCCTTTTACCCCATAATTATTGCTGCAATTAACATTTTTTGGTGAAATCCTCCAGTTTTCTTCTGTTTGACTTGGCTGAGTGAAACTTTTTGATGTGAATAATAAGAGGTATGTTCTTGTTTTGCAGCCTACTAACAAGTTTGGTTCCTTTATGGTGGATGGCCGACCTGGTGAGCGATGGATTACATTGAATAGACAATTTGCCGATGAAAATATTAAAGTTGAAGTCACCATGTTTGATGGAGCTGCTCCTGCTCCAAAAGCAAGTGGTGGTGTGGCTAATGCAGATGAAGTGCAGCTACACATTACCCTAATTGTCAACATCTCCAAGGGAGATGGTGGAGTGCTGGAAATCGTGTGCTCTGCTTGGCCAGACAGTATAGAGATAAAAAGGCTGTTTGTACGTACTGACACAAATATGCCAGCTGAACCCTATGCTGGTCCTGACTTCGAGTAAGTTTACTTACTCATTTCTTACCCCAACTGTTTGCTTACAATTAGTGTTATTAAATAGTGGCTATAGCACTACAATATAATGGAGTTTGAACAAATTACTATTGTTCCGTGATATGCTATTTAGTACAAAATGTTGTCAAATAGAAAGACTCTGCATGTGTTTGGTTCTGCGGTGAAAAGAATTGATTATGTAAAATTGATTCTAGTTAAAAGTGAGTTGAAGATAAAGTGATTTATGTTTGGATAAATTTATGTAAAAATGAGATGAACAATAAATGTCAATGTAAAAATCACTTTTAAACTCAGAAGCTACAAATCATAGCTTCAAGGAGAATCAATTCTAGAGTCAGAATCAATTCTACTTTTGAAGAACCAAACATCTCAAAATCACTCCAAAATCGATTTTACCCTTCTAGAATTGCTTTTGGCTCATCCAAAACTGAAACCAAAAATACACTATAGCAGAGCTATAGCACTGTTGCATAGCATAAGTTAAACAAACTGCTATTTTCTACAATATGCAATTGACAACACCACTTACAATTTTGAATGATAGATAGATTTATATTTCTGTATGCACTTCTTGATGATGTTTCTTTACAGGGAATTGGATGATGAGTTGCAGGATGGCCTTTATGAGTTCTTGGATGCAAGGGGTATAGATAATAAACTAGCCACTTACTTGCATCAGTACATGAAACACAAGGATAAAATAGAGCTAATAAGATGGATGGAGAAGGTTAAATCTTTTATTGAAAGGAAACAAGTGCAATGAAATTTATAAATGTTCTAGATGAGATAAACCATCAGATCATATCTCTTGTCTATTTTGTCACTGAAGTTTATTTCAAAGAAAATAAGCACTTATTATTTTTGTTTGCTTCTTTGGAATAATCATTGTTAGTAGAAATTGTACAACGTAAATACGAAATGACCATATTGTATTCATGGTTTTTTCCGGGGATCGCTTATTCCCTCTGAAGAATGAAAACATGTTGAGCCGCATCTGAAATGGAAGATTTTATTCTTGAAAAATCATTGTTTCATTTGTGTTTATTATTATGATGTATGCTTTACAATCTATGACCAGTGACTGGCATTGTTCCGGGAACAATTGACTAATAGCAGCCAGAAGTCGAATAAGGGCTGTAATTATTCCGAGCTTGTTCAAATTAATGGTGAAGTGGTCCTGTAAAGTTGTATCCACCTTGATTTAATTCACAAAACATAAATTATGCAAGTGTTGTACCTCTAATGTGCAGCAAACTCAAGTTACATCTCGATCGATTAAAATTTTGATGTAATTCATTTCAATACATGCATACATAAAATAAATTTTCCTTCAGGTATAATTTACTAATTTTTTCATCCATGAACTTCTTCAAATAATCTCACTTATGAACTATTATTTCTTGTATCAGAATCATAGAATCATGTATGGCTTGATCCATGGTAATGCTATCTCCATCTCTTCTTTTGAGATTCTTTCACTCTCCTTTAATTATTTTTAAAATTTCCTATAATACCTTGAATCCTGTAGTGTTTTAGTGCATGGTAGAATTGTAAACAAGATTAGTAATATGCTTAAAGATAATGAATCCGTACTACAGTTTTGTCAATGGAGTAATCTTGAAAGTACCAGTTAGGTTCAGGTGAAGATATCCAAGTAAAAAAGTCTCGATAGACAAAGACATCTTAATGTAATTATTGTCTTTCTATATATTGTTAAGGTGAGAAGGGATGTTCAAATTAACTTAAACCATAAAATTTGCCGACATGAGTTTCTTAAGAGAATTAGAGATGAAGTGATTATGACTTGACTTATTTGGTTGAAAGGCCACTGAACTATATATAATAAAATAATAGTTATTATATGCTACTATTTTGTTAGAATCAATGCATACAACCAGTGATACCGAAGTATTGTCAGAATAGACAGAATACAATAAGAAAAGCAGCACTGTTTCACTAGCCTAACTAAGATGTTGATGTTAAAACTCAAGTTTCATGTTCTATCTATTATTGAAGATGAGGACATACAATCTCAAATTTGATTATTCATATAAAATCTTGATGAACAAGAACCACATTTTGCTTCAAATGATAGCTCTTTGTTCTTTTCTGTTTCTTTCTTGGTTAGGAGGCAAAATGAATATCTTATTGGATGAATGGTGAAAGACTTAGGTATGCCATTGCCACCACAATTAAAATAGACAGCTCAACTAAAGTACTGCTTATGGCAATAAAATATATCAAACTCATAATCCATATTAGGAAACATTCTTAGATCTTACATATGATAATTAACTGTCATAATGACTAGACTTTCAGTTGCTTTTGAGCTGAATTTCATCATAATAGTACTTGTGTTTCATGATTAACATGAGATTAGTGTAAACCTCATATATATATATATATATGGTCCTACAAATTTGAAGTGTACATAAGATATCATTAGTTGAGACATCAGTGTTTAAGATTTTAATTAATGCTCCCTTCATCCCACAATAAACATCACTTTTTAGTTTTATATTAATTATATTTTTTCAATTGTACATCTAATTAATAATTACATGCACCACTTTTAGTTTAATAATATTCTACTCAGTATTTATGATATTGATAAATACTACTTAATAAAGGTAATTTAGTATACATGTTCTTCTTTCTCTAATATATATACTTTTAAAAGAAATTTATCGATATAATATCTGTGTTATTCTGGCTTACTTCCACCTAGTTTACCCCACCAACTTCTTTGATTTCAATAGAGATGGTCCATTTCTCCAACCACAAGTAGGTTAAAGTAGAAGTTAGTGACACATTTGCAACCATTAAAACATTCATTTTGGTGGACCAATTTTTTCAATAAGTACTAGAAAAATATGACAGTCACTAACTTCCAAATGTCTACAGTAGATCTTTGTCACCCAATATATGTGACATACATCTTGTACCTTCATTCAAATAGTCCTACGTTGACATTAAGTTCACTGTCAAATTCAATTATTCATTTTTCTTTTACTCCATTGCAAGAAGTGAATTCAAATAACTATTTGTTGTTACATTTTATGAATAACAAATACAATAACGCGTAGATGTCAGTAATAATTTTAAAAAATAAAATAATTATATATAACAGACGTCGGACACATTTAATACAAAAATTCCGTGCTAGACAAGTTCTTAATTGTGGAAGCAAAAGATGCTCATACATTTTGGATTTTTGTGCTCCAAAGGAAACCTTAAAGATAAAGTAAACAATCTCAGCCTTTCATGAATAAATCTAATTGAGTTGGAGTATATTACTTATTTTACCATATAAACTTTATAGTTCATATTAGTTCATATTAGTTGATAACTAAGTAAAAGCATGACCCAAATATATTAAAAAAATCTCAGTTATATATCAAGTGAAACCAGCACTTATTTTTTCTACTTTTTGTTTGTTTTTCTTTCTAATTTATCTTATATAACTGCTTATTTTTTTGGATGAATCATAGACACATGCAGACCAATCAATAATCAGCAAGTAATTTATTTCTATGACAAAGCATAAAGCAAATAACAGCAAATCAGAACCTCTTGTAAGTAATCAAAATGCATTCAAACCTGGTTGAACAAGAGAGATACATGAAAAACAAAAGAAGTGAAGAAGGAAGAAAAAAAAGTTGAAAGCTCTTTAGCTAATGAGAAAAGAAACTGTGTTATTTTTTTAACGCTCCGGTTTTCTAGAGTTCAACCGGTAGATAAGTAAAGTCTGATCAATGATTGTTCGGATTCGAAGGTTGAATGAGAGTGTACTTAGAGCTTAAGAGACAAGTCAAGCTTCTGCAACTTCTCTTGTTTAGACTTCAAATGTGAAATGCTGTTATCCAATACGTAACCTCCATGTCCAAATCCTTCATTCACAAGACTTTTAGGAAACATAGCTACCCTTTGAATGCCACTGCCAAAAGATGGTTCAGTTTCATTCCTCACATGAAAGTTTCCAGATGGAGGCTTTCCAATTGCCGGCTGTGAATCAAAAATCTGTCTTTTCCAACCATTTTGTCCATTTGAACAAAATCCAAAAAAGGGTGTTTGTGTTTGATAAGAAGGTTTGTTAATCATAGAATGCACTTGAATGCCAAGTGATTTGTTGCACAGGCCATAAGAAGGAAGAGAAGAAGTCATGCTAGTTGTATAGCCTCTTCTCGCCAAAGTTCTTTCGCGCTTATGTGCATTCTGGTGTCCTCCTAGTGCTTGCGAGCTGTAAAATTTTCTTTGGCAGTAGTTGCATGAGAAAACTCTTGGATCAAGTTCGTTTTCATGACTAGATTCCGATGAGCTTTCTGATAAATTTGTATGGAAACAGTTGAGGAGGTTTAGTTCCAGCTTTGATTCATCATCACATGAATCTTTGCTAGAGAGACTTAGATCAAGTACAAGTTGAGAAGATGATTCACGTTTGTGTTTTGTAGTATCCATAGAAGTTTGTTGGCATGGAAGATTCGAGTTTTCGGATGGATATGGTTATGGCTTAAGAAGACTCGTGTCGAAGGAAATATAATGCAAGTATAAGCTTAGTATTGTTGTTATCTAAGTTTGGTTTAACTGCAAGAGAGATGAAGTTTGTTGTAAATGTTGTAACAACAATAAATGCTTAGTGCTATGTATAGAAATAGATAGCACTATTTTACAGTTACAAGGTCTTAATATAGAGAGACCTAAAACTTAAGACATCTATTTGTGTGAATATGAGAAAATGAGAGACAGAGAGAGAAAGATTTGTATTGTATACTAGTTTGATTGGAACTTATGTAGAGCACTATTCTACAATTTACTAGTGCATAGATTCTCTATTGTCCTACAACTATTTGTATCTTTTAGGTCACAAATTTACGCATTCATGCAATCAGTATATTACTGACAGTTGAATCGATACTAGACCACCCGACTTGATTTAATGACTAGCAATAAATTAACTGCATGAATGTGTGAGACTTGTGACGATAGCAAATTCAAATTCTACAACATTAATAAAAATTATTTTGAGTCGATAAATCGGTTGAATATTTTTTAATAACTTTATTATTGTCTTCTCACATGTCTCTCTACATTTACTTGTATATGCCTTTTTATTGGTATATTCATGTCTAGGTTAGGACATGATAGATAAGATCAATAGCTTACTTTTGAATTTTAGAATAATGTATTGTTGTAAAATGGACTTGTCTTATAAAAGGTGTGGTATTCTGAATTTCTTAAACCTCTTGGTGGATTTGCATTATCTTTGGGGAAACTCTTTTGTCCTTGTCTTCTTGCTGCACTATTGTTGTTTATGTGATAGAATATAGACTTGTCCACATTGTCAACTTATTCAATTAGCAAGTTGATATTGGCATTTTTTTAGTCTCGAAGTGGTAATAATCACCCGAGACTCACACACAACAATTAATATCAGGTACGAATTTAAGTGATAATGTTCAATTTAATAATATTGACTTTTGTTAAATGAATTAGGATTCACCGACTAATAATATTGACTTTTGTCAGTTGAGTTAGGATTCACAGACTAATATTAATATATTATTGTTCTGTATTCTAAAAGACGGTTAAATGAAAATGAGATGATTTGTTTTAAATGAAAAAAATATAACATAACTAAATAGTAATTTTTCAAAATGAACTAATGTAATTTAGTAGTTACAGATCCCCTTGTATCAAATGTACTTGTGATGTTTCATGTGTCCCATATTACAGTGTTTTTTTTTTATCTGATATGACACCACAAACCAATGTCCCCAATTTTTTTAGAAACAATTGCTTTTTCATAGTTGGCCATGGGTCCTTCCTTCCTTTATGTTTTTTCCTTTGTATCTTTGTTAAGATCATAATGCTTCACCTTAATAATTAATAATTGAGGCCTAGTTTATAAATTTCAAAATAAACTTGTAGTATTTTAAATAAACAAAATAATAATATTCAATATAAATGCATACACAACTATGCATATTTTAAGTTGAATGAAATATCTCAACTCATTTAAAACGATTGACTTAAGAGTTATTTTTTTGACTATTTTTTTAAAACATTAATTCTTATTGACATTGAAAATGTCTAAATTTATTTTGAAGTATTAGCTGAATTAGGTGACATAGGAAATTGTCATGGAAATGTTAGGTAAGGTTAAGATTCCATTACTAAATCTAAACTATTGTTGATTATATGAACTCTATTAAAATTTCAAGTAAACCAAATTATAAAACCAACTAAAATTACTATTATATTAGATATGAACTAATCTCAAATGCTATGAGTAAAGTAACCATTTCATTTCCTTTTCATTAAGGTAGCAGCCTTTTTTGTTTGCTTGCAACTTCATTTTATTGTGATTGAGACAACAACCAATTGACACAAAGTGTTGTACTACATAAGCAACTCAGGCTGCATGTACGGTTTGGCTTTAGAAAAACACATGTTTGAAAAATAACATTGTGACATTTGATGGGTAAGTAACAGCTTTCTGAGGTTGTTAATGTGACTCATCTGCCTCTCCTTGTGCTTATTCATATTGGCTTGGAATCAAATCCTTGACAAGAAAGGACAGTGACAAGAATAGGATAAGTTATATGTTTGCTTCCAATTGGTAAAAAACTATTAGCTTTGAGGGTTTATTGAACCATTAGAATATTATGGAGAAATTATGGAGAAATTAGATGCAAATTTTCTTATATATTAATTTTTTTACATGAGTTTGTTGAAGTCGAAATTATTGAAGATTTTGATAAAGTTGAGAAGTTAGAATCTGATGTTAGAACTTATATTAATGGTGTACTTAAATCTTCTAATAAAATTTTTGTGGATGAGGGAGATATATATGTAGATGATAATAATTTAAGGTATAATTAGTTCTCAAGTTATTTATAAATTGTGATATAGTCTCTTATTAAAAAAACGATTCAATTTGGTTCCGTAATACTTATTCCGTTAACATGTTTGATCCATTCCGCTACTTCAGATGTTAGACCGTTAGTAAATGTCAGGGTGACGTTTCAACTGTGTGTCTAGTCATCAAATGAATAAATAATTTATATTTTATAGGGTTAAATTGGTGGTTCATGTCAATAATTTTTAGAAAAAATGATTAACAAGCTTGTGCATATAATCTTGTTGGTTCATTCATCTTGTTCTCTTTCTTCTTGTAGCTTCCTTCATCTTGTTCTCTGCATCTTGTTCTCTTTCTTCTTGTAGCTTCCTTCATCTTGTTCTCTGCATCTCGTTCTCTTCATCTGCTTCTTTTCATTTTGTCTCAATTCTTAGGGTTTTATCCTTCTTCTTCGTCTCCAATGTCTAAGTTGTCAAGTAGTGCTTCAATTGGTACATCTGATTCTTCGCTAAAATAAAAGGAGAGAGCGTTTTTGCCAAGATGAACGTGTGCTTCGTACGGTGGGTGACACGAGTAGGGTCAATTTTGAGAAAAAGTTGTAGGGTTGCAAAAATTTCAGAAATCATGTGAATCAGGAATGTAATTTCTTCAAATGTTTCGACAACAACATGATTGATGAAAGGGATTTGAAGATCCAGAGGTAGAAGAAGAAAATTTACAAATTGAAGAATGAGATCATCAATACTAGGGGATGGTTGAAATTGTCTGTAATAATTGGTATATTGAGCTTATTGTGTAATATTTTATTTGTAACAATTTTTTTGTATGTTGGTTGTAGTTGTGAACAAGGAGGTTGAGATTAATCTGTGAAATGTGTTTGTCAACATTGTTATGTATTTGTCAAAATTTATCAATGAAATATATTTGCTGAAATGTTACTTTTCTTTGTTTCACACAATATACAAGAACAAATACACACCATAAATTTGTCATAACAATAGTCAAAAAGTCATAACATTAGTTGCAATAATAACATTACAAGTCATAACAAAAGGGGTATTGCAAGCCATTAGACATAACTAGAGAATAAACATTTTATGCCATATGTTACCGCTGTAGAAAACCAACAAAAGTATCATTATAAACCTTAGCCTTAAACTACAAAATAGACACACAAAAAATAGAATAACTAGTACACATCACATATAAACATAATTTTAGGGTTGGCTCAGAACTGATTTTAGACCCTTTTAAAATCTCTTTCTCTTTTTGGACACTTGCTGAGTTGAACCTTCATCTAATGTTGATTGGCTTGAAGTAGCAGTAACTGGTGTTGGTGGTTGGGTTAATGAATATTGTGAGGGGTAGAGTTATAAACAAGATACTTTTGGAAATGAATTAGAATCAATTGAAACTTTAAATATTACGATAACTTGAACAAATTTTATAAAAGATATTCAACTAAATTTATTTTTAAAGGTACTATCGATACACAATTCTCTATTCTTCTTACTCTTTAAATAGAAAAATTTTATTGTATTTTATTAACAAAGTGATACATTCTAATTAATATTTTATACAATAAATAAATTGAATGAATTATTGATTGAATGGATTGGATCAATATTGGGTTGGAAAGATTAAATTTCCATCATTATGAATTGGATGGGTTATCAATCCTATTTTAATGAGTCACACTTGTTTCCGGCGACTAATTTGTCTGTTTTGATCTGAGTTTATGGCCATGTTTTGGTTGTTATATCTATATTCTTATATAAACAAATGTAATATTTTAAATTAAAATTTTAAATATATTTAAAATTTAATGTTTTTAATAGGAATTATAGAATAATGGTGATAATGAAGGAGGAAAAAAAATGTTAAACTTTTTATGCTATTATTTCTCAATTAAACTATTTATTACAAATGTTATTTTATTTTATTTTTATTTTTTAATTAACAAAAGATAATAATTATTTGTAAAAACTCATGTGTTATATTTGTTATTATTTAAGAATTTTTCTCGTTAAACATGTTACTCTAATACTTTATGATAAAATAAATAGTAGACATGAGAAAGACGATTTGAGTGAAAAGAAATAAAAATGGTGAATTATACACTAGAAAAAAAATAATTTATCATTGTTTTCTGATTTAATTAAATTAAAAAACAACAATTTAGTTAAATGTCAGTTTTAAATCATATAAGTTAGTTTAATATAGAAAGTAATATATTTTATGAGTCAAAAGAATTTGAGACTTCATCTCAATGGCAAGAATTTAGAGTTAGACTTATATGTAGAAAATCTAATTTAATAAAATATAATTATTAAATATCTAATTCTAATAAATATGTCACACGTCGTTATACTGCCAATTGTTGGCATGATACTTTTGTATAATTATTATCTATAACTAGATATTTTTTTGTGTTGTATATAATACATATGATTTTTGGGTTAAATCTTTAAAATGAGATGAGGTTTGAAGTGGATGATTATTGACATGCATGTTTTAAAATTATCAACAATAAAAATAATACAAATTACTATATTTTATAAATTACTTTCACTTTCTTTAATTCAACCAAATGAACATA